TTTTTTTTTTTTTTCCCTTTTACCATTTTAAGTTTAGAGTTTTCTTATACACCAATAATCTTAATTTTTTTTTGCTTTTTAAGTTCCACTAACTTTATGGAAAAAACAACTTATGAAAACAAATTCATAAGGTCAGCTACAAATGTATAACACTGATTTACCTCTTTTGCTTAATCATACAATTCAATTTAAAATTCTTCACAAGACAGAACAAATAAAATCTTACAGCTGTACAGTTCTTAAAATACAATGGTCTAATTGATTTATTAAAAAAACACAACTTACATATTACATAAGTGTGGAAATATTGAAAACTTCTTGTCCAGAGACAAAGTGCTAGAAAAATTGGCCTCCTCAACTTTTAGAAATTTTGTTTTTATTTAACAGTGAACACAATGACATTAAAAGCTCAATTCATTGGGAACAATGTATAACATGCTTTACTAAGCTCTTTGTACATATTTGTTCATGTATTTTACTTTTTTTGTAATTTTTATTACATTATATATTCTTCCTAAATCTAGCAGTCAAACTTTACTGGGCTCCTACTGTACACAAAAGCAATGTAATAATACTGTTCCATTAAATTCAATATATCTGTTACCTTATGTGTTTGTGCACGACTGAGTATTTGTGAATCAAAAGGATATATATATTTGTGTATATAACTTGTTTTGAAATTTAAAGCTGCAAATTCTAAAACGTTTGTACTAGACTTCCAAAGTTCAGAATTTTCAGAAACTTGCATGACCCCATAGAAATTTACCTTGTGTTTTTCTAGCAATAAGAATGAATGATGTGAATAAAAAGTATGCTCATCCAACAGACAAATTTTAATGAGAAATGTAACTACCATTCTTTACACATAACAAGAACCACTAAGTTTCAAATAAGGAGGGAAAAAACTACACAATTTATAATATCACAAATCATTTATGATAATTCACTTTTTTACAGCAAACATCTGACAACTGTGATGATTGATCCATTAACTTCATTTTAAATAATCAACTTAATCTTTAAATAAAACCTTCATAAATATACTTAATTTACCAACCTCCTTTGTCCATGGTCCCTTTATTAAATCAGGGCTTACAACTTTCTGCCACCGTTGCTGACACTGTAGCTCGTTTCGATCAGGAAAAAAGTTTGCTATGTATGTCCAATCATCAGAACTGTGTTTTTCAACCAAAATCTTTAATTTTTCATCCTGTATAAGATAACATCAAAGTTATCTAAAATAAAGCATTCCCCAATGAGCTTAAAAGCAGTGGTTATTTATAGTCACAGTTATCTTTACGATATATGTTCCTTAGCCACAAAAAGCCCCTTAACTTCTCTTTTCCAAATAATAAAACACAAACAAATCCTCAATGTGACATTTTTGTTATTACAAGTAATAATTTCATGGTGCACACAAACTAAATTACATATAATTTATGTAAGATTATGATTCATCCTAAGTATGAACAAAAAATTCTGTTTTATTTTTCGTATAGAATTTAAAGTTTCTACGTATTTCAATGCTCCATAAAAACATGGGGCAGTTGTAACTAAACAATCCAATTATATAGCAGGTTGTAACATTGTTTCTGCATACTGTTAAATCTGTTCACAGAGCATGACTAACAACTGAATCCACACTTGCACTGTAAAAGTGGACAGCAGGGCTTTGTGTTATTATCTGAATCCCTATGACAAAACTTGAGTTTGTGTATTAGTATTTAATATTGTGCATTGAGTATGAAAGCCTAGGGACTTTCTAACTTTTATTTAAGATTTAGTATTTAACTGTTTGAAAAAACTTTTGCATTTAAAATAGAAGTATATTGCTGCCAATTACAGAATAAAACAAAACAAATTCTGACAATGAATAAGTGAACCCATTACTACAAGAGCATCCAATAATCTATTTATTAAGCCTAATAACTTCATTCATCATGAATACTGTATGTTACAAAATTGTAAGATATCTAAACATTAAGTGTCGGTACAAATTCTTTTATGCAAACTGTAAATATTTACACTTAACAAAGTTAAATGTATTATTCAATTGGTAACCCTATCCTGAACAGTTAATTGAATGTGTTGTTCATTTTGATGTACAGAACATACTGGATCATGCTTTCTCCTGTGAACAAAATCTAAACTTGCACTCTCTGATAATTAACATGACAGTACCAAAAAATTAAACATACCCTTATTTTAGGCATTTTCAAGTAGCTAAAACTAACAATTCAAAAATATAAAAAAATATGCACTGTTGGTGAAGGTAGCTTGAAATGTGAAAAGGTGAATGATTGAAAATTTATTTTTCTAAGATAGCACATTACCTCTATGTTAAAATAGCTTTCTTTTTAACCATAGTACTATCACTGGGGTAGACACCCATCCCCAATGGCTTTTAAAGCAAATTTCTCTGGATTGTTTATACACAACATTCCTCAGAAATCCATGCTATTGTTGGTTACAGGATTTCTATGCATTTTATATAGAAAATGAATTGATTTCACCCAATGTTTTCAGTCAGTTCTTTACATTAAGTGTCACAACAAGCAAAGGCAGAAGTTATTCAATATGGTGCAATATTTGAACATCCATTAAAAATGAATAATATACAAACAAGTGTATAATTTGTGGGTTAAGACAATGCATTGTCAAAATCCTTTTTTCGACTATCATATTAGTTACTTGTATATGTACTGTATACTTGGGTGCATGAATTTTCATTATTTATATAAGCTACATAATTAGTCACATAAATCATAGTATATGACTACTGTGGTATAATAGAAAAATAGATAATTTTAATATATTTAAGAGAATTTTTGTGAAATTCTATGCTAAATCATAAAGTGAAAAATAAGTCAACTTACTGTGAATTTCCAATAAAAATTTTTTTTTATTATAGAGATTTAACATCCAATCAATTTTCTATTAACTCTAGCTATAGGTTACATATAATAATGTGTAATTTACATCTCTAGTTCTTACAAAAGTAATATCATAACAGTTGCATCACCTCATCTTTTGACCAACGTCCTTTATTAATGTGTTTCTGTGCAGATGAGCAACGTCCCATGCTAATCCGTGACTCCGAAGTATCACTTAAGGAATCCTCGGAGTCATCTTCACTGGAGCTACTGCTGTGCTTGCAGAGACTATGAAATATACAAAGAAAAACAATTATTTACATATAAAAGTGATTGCAATACAATTTACAAAAATGTCATAATGCTACATTTGTTCTTTTTACTAAAACTAAAATACTCAAACATTTTTAACCTGAACAATCACATATTTTTCTCATTATACCAATATTATTTCATACTTCAAACTATCAAAATGCACAATAATCATACAAAACAGGAGATTGATCTCATTAAGCTCTATCAAACTATAATTTTACACTTACAACGAATCTTAACAATTAAATCTTTGTAGTTTACTACAAATATTGATAGTTTTTTCTGAAATAATAATTCAATTAATTTTATATAACTCAGCTTTGCTAGATTATTGAGAATTTTGAACAAAGCCATTTATTTGATTAAAATTAAATTATCAGGCGAGCATAAATCTATTCATGTTTTGTTTGTCCTGTTGATTATATGTTAAGTTAGTACTGTACTTATTGAAAATCGCGCAACTAGCAAAATCTGCTTATGTGCCATACATATATCTAAAAATCGATGAGGCAACATCTGCCCTCATACCATCTGCTCTAAAGCGAAAAAAAAAATTTACATGGTACGTTTTGTGTTACGTGTATATAAGCGGCCAGCAAGTGAAAGAGTCACGAACTTGAGCGTTTTCAAAAATCGAATTATTCATACAATGAAATTTGCATATGCAGAGTTACGCTGAAAAATATTTTCTTTTGCACTAGCATCTAAAACAATAACTTTGGTTCCGATATTACAATGTCATAGTACTCTTGAATTACATATACTTTTTTACTAAAATCTAGAAAAAATACTATTTTATGTTATTAGAATCATGGTTTCATATAGTAGCTTACCCCGAATGATCATGCCCCACTTTCTTAGCGTTTTCGATTTCAAGAAATATTTCGTCAACGTCAAAATCAGAAATATCATTTAGATTCAAATCTTCGATCTCTTTAACAGCGTCAAAATGATCTATTTCAGCCATATTAACTACTTCGTAACTTATAAGTTACTTAACAATAAACAAACATACGAGCTTTACAATATTTAAAACTTGGCCAGCCTGCACTTATCTTAAAATTGCTAAGCTCATAAACATCAAATAGATAAAACTAACCACTATCACAATTCAGTTTTACAATTTTCAATATGAAGGACACTTAGCCTAAATCTGTTAGAACTTTGAAGTAATGTAACACATGGCTTATCTTTTTGCCTTTTTAAAAATTCAAGACTGTTACTGTTAATCCTGCTTCAAATTCACGCAAAACGAATAAATAAATCTATTCTACTTTTACTTTCAGAAAATACTTGTACAAAATCTAACTAGAATAACTTATTTTCACGATTTTTAAATACTGTCGTGTTATAAACTCTAACAACTTGTATAAAAATAAGTTTTGTTTCCGAATTAACTTGATTAAGGTTTCTAATTGACAAAACTATAAATTCTGATCTTCCAACACGTGCCACATGACTAAAAATCGGTGCTTCCGATTCGAGTATGCTTTCGATATACAACCTGTGAAACACGAGAAAAGTTTGTATATTCTTATTAATTAATAATAATATTATTGAATATAATTAATTCTAACTATTCAAAGCAAAAATATAATATACAAAACCATATCAACAGTGAGTTATTTTTAATCACTAGCACTAGCAATTAAAAAATATAAAACAAACTAATTTTCTTGCAACATCTTTTAACTTATGTAAATATTTGTTCACCTACATTATTTAGTATAACTATAACTTATACTATGAGTAAAACACGAGAGGAATACTTTTACTTAGTTTTTACACAAATTACAGTCAAGTTTTCATGGCATTTGGAATTTTGATTAAGATTAATTTTATGGTAACTATAAATCCACAATGAACAAATAACTACACAGTAGTTTACTATTATTAGTAAAAGTACTAGACTAACTAAACTTGGCTTCATATTCTAACAGTATCGAGTATTAACATAAGCATAAATAAGCGGCGATACCTTACGTTATTATATATTCGGTTACACTTGGACTGTTTACAGAAGTCGACTAAACAATCTCAACACCTGCACCGCTACTCTACGAATAATGGTAATAGTCGTGCCTATTCCCCATTATAACTTAGTATAATTAGAACGAATTAAACTTTAAGTTAAAGTATCCTACTAAGATTATAATAACTAAGTTAACTTAAGTATTGACGCCAATGAAAGAACAAAACAGCAAATAAAATTAAATTACTTTTGTTACAGTGCTAACTGTTAATGTTATACTTACTAAGTCATCTGAACTAAGGCCATACAGCCAGCTGCTTTCCTTGTTTTGTAAGCTCAAACTAACCTTATACAAAACAGCAGTTAGCGATAAACTATGGCGAGTTACTTGTGCTACATGCTAGTCGAGTGCATCAAACATTTCGAAACATATTTATTTTCCTTTTATTACATCACTTTACTTACCGAGTGTATGATGCTTTACGCATGACTAGACTTTTCTTCCGGACATTAAGTACTAAACCACACAACAAATGCGCTTATGATTTTGACAAAATAATCGTATCTTCACTACATTTCACGACTACAGAACTATGGCGGCAAGCGAATTAAATTTGCGCGCTACGATATCATCTGCCCTGAGAGACGGGTTTTGATTGGCTAAAAATTTCCTTCCAATATTAAAGGCGATTGGTGAACACATTTAGCTTTGTATTATATATGACTGAATAATTATATACCATTCACTTTATAAGTAGTAAAAAGTTTTTGGTATGAACAATGTATGAGTATCACGATACCTAGAAAAAGAAATTCGTTGCTATTTTCAATATGATAAAACATATAAGTGATAAAACGTAAACATAGAAATGGTTTAGATAATAAATTACACTACTGTAGTTTATACTCTTAATTTGTTTAATGGAAAAATATGTTTTCACTCCTTTGCTTAGCCACTAATTTTTCAATTTGCTATATGAACAAAGCCGTGAATTGAATGCCATATATTGCATACTAAAAACGTTGTAAAATATGTAATAAAAATCGACTATTAATAATAAATAAAAAATTCTGACACTCTTTTCCAACCTGTCTGTATAAACCCCTGTTCAATATCGGCACAAGAAAATATAATCAAGGGCCCGGCATGGCCAGATGGTTAGGGCGCTCGATTCGCAACATGCTCGCCCTTTCAGCCGTGGGGGCGTTATAAGTTAAGGTCAATCCAATTATTCGTTGGTAAAAGAGTAGCTCAAGAGTTGGCGGTGGGTGGTGAAGACTAGCTGCCTTCCCTCTAGTCTTACACTGTTAATTAGGGACGGCTAGCGCAGATAGCGCTCGTGTAGCTTTGCGCGAAATTCAAAAAACAAACAAACAATATAATCAAGTAAAGGATATCAGCGATTTAATAAGCCACACTTTTACATTACATTCCATGTTCTGGCAGAAAGAACTGATACGAAGACATGACCATTCATAATTTTCTGTTTCTTCGTGTTACTAAGATATTTAACCGAAAAATCCAGTTTACCTTTTTACGTGGATTTTTACCCACTCTTCTACTAACTATTAAAACTTTGTCATAGATGTTAAGCTTTCTTTAGCGATGCATTAACATGTATTGAAGAGAATATGTTCATCCTGAAGAAGCTCTACAGATTCAGTATTGAGTGAAAGCCTCGTAGTTGTTTGCTTCAATATCTGTACTTATGTGGAAAACAAACAAGGAAACTTATGAGTATATACAACTAAATATATATTCGATATTTTCAACCTGAACGGCACCTTATATGATACATTTAGGACTAATGACCAGTAAACATCAATTAATCAGCAATACTCACTGCCAATATGACTAGTCTTAATCGAATTAGTACGAGTGATTTTTTATAGAAATAGCACCCACGCAGCTGAAACTGCAGATAATGTTCTCTGGTATATTGTAGCTCGAACTTCTGACTTTTGATCCACAACCTGGAACCTAACCTCTTTGCCAATGGTTCACAATCTGTGGGCTAAGGACTACTGGTAACCCGCGGGCTCATAGAAGGGTTGCATAATTATGGAAAAGATAATATATATATATTACATCGTGGTCCCCCGAAATAAAAAAAATCAGGTGGTCCGCGAGAAAAATAATTTGTGAACCACTGCTTTAGGCCATACTCGGCCCAGCTAGACAAATCGTTGCTTAAATTACATTAACCGAGATTATGTATGATATGAAACCACAACAAAAAATAAAGCATTTTTGTCAAACTTCTGACTGATTTTAAAGTAAATATCGATGAAAGAAGTACAAAAAATATTTAAAGATAACTTTTAGAGTAGGAAACAGATTCTTGTAATTCGTGGTTTTCTACCTTGATGACGTCACAACTCACAGACATACTTTCAGTGATTCTTGTCACAGATAAAATGGAGGTAGATAGTTAAATAAATAAAAAAAAAATCCTAAAACGCAGTTAAAAAGAGTGAATTCCCCCAGTTACGAGTGCTTTATTGCTTATATCGTCACTGGAGAAGGAGTGTACATAGATCAAGGAAGTTGGAGGATTTCTCGTGTCTTATTACTTACTATATCTCTATTTTTGTTTTATGGTCATTTTGTAACGAATTTTAAATTTGATATATACTATACCTCTCTATTATTGGTTTATCAATGGTCGTTTTGTTAGAGTATTTTCAAATACAGCACATCGGTATTGTGTATATATGCATACAATGCATTTTCTATCTCCTTATTAAATATAGTGTTATTCGAAATTTGTCAGCTATTACGATATGTACAATCTTCACGTAACACACGGTCAAGAATTTCGTTAAATTGATTATAATCTATTTGCCTTTGTCATTCTCTATTTTGCCCACTGGAGGTATGGCTGTAATGCTGAATGTTGTGCAAGAATGTAGCCAGTATGTCCTCCAATGGTTGGGCAGGTGCTATCTCGAGATTGCAGATTCCCTTAAGTCTGAATGAGAATGATAACTCATGTGGGTAGCGCTATTTGTTTTGGATAAATCCGACTTAACCTGCTAAGTATGCAATGTTAGATTTAAACAGTTTGGTACACGATCTTGATCGATACAGCTTTTGAGAGAAACAGCTTCCTAACTAGTAAAAGTGACCGTAAGCAAGTGCATACAGTGTGTTTGTGTTATTTAATATAGATTGTTAATTTGCATTTGAAATTGTTTCCAGTCACTTTATATCGTTCTCACGAACTCAGTTATTCAGAGAAATTTAAACTTACTCTAACCTGATATACCACAGTATGCAAACAATGGCCTTGGCTATGTGGGGGCTCTTGGGCTTGAGCCAATACTGGAAACTGAAAATGGGCTCAGCATCCCTCTCTCCCTTTGGAATATTGGTGACTGAAGCCCCTTTTATACAATAGTAAAATGTATCACCCCAGTTTAATGAATGGGGTAGACTTGTCCACTTTATGTCTGCTGGCTCGTACGTTTATTTATCCAGTTAGTTAGCTTATTTTCGAATTTTAGTGTAAAGCTACACAAGGGCTATCTGTGCATAATTGTCTCTAACTTTGAACTTATTGATTAGAGGGAAGGCAACTAGTCAACTGCATTAGTAAAATTTTATGAATGGTGATTATGTACTTGTAATGGCAGTATAATTTTGATACCGCAGTAAAATGACTAGCGATATTCTCATTTTGTAATTTCACCCTATTACATAATTGTTTTGTTAAATACACTGTGTGCGGTTTGTTTCCATTCCAGTTTGTTTTTAATGTTTTCTAAGTTACATTCATAGACACGAATGTCTAATTTAAACTTTAAAAAAATGTTTGAAATGAAAGCAGAAAAAATGTAGTACGCTGGGGAATAAAATTCCATACTGAGCATTATGAGGGCTTTCTATGGTGTTATAATTAGTAGAACTGTTAATATACTTCAAAATTGTTGTGGCTGATCATAATTCCAGTCTAACTCAGTCCTACCCAGGGATGGTGAAAACTTGACGCCTATATATATGCAGATATCGTTAACCTATACCATATTATATGAATATATATATATTTATTCATACAATATTTGAAAACTGTAATATAGGTTTTGCATTTAATTGAAACTTTTAGATGAGCAGAATGCGCCCGATCTCGAATTACACTAGCCACGTAATTGTGATATTTTTAGGTGAAATTGATTTTCTTCAAAGCAATAGAATTGGTTCAACAATATATTTATCACAGAGTAGTTCTGAGTTCCCGGAATAACTGAGTTTATAAGATAGAAATAAACAGATTAGCAACAATATAAAACACAAATGAACAACCTTTATCATTTACACTAACATTAACACATTGTGTGTAATTGCCAGTTTATTGACCGACAATCGCTTTACTGGATCATAAATGATTTCTATCAGACGGAATTGGCCGACATCATCTACTAGATTGTTTCACCTAATGTTACATACTTCAAAGGTAGTGTAAGGTTTATCCTGAGCAACTAGCACTACTCAAGTGACAGGTAATCCCTCTTCAAGATTAAGGGAGGTCATAACCTCAAGGTACCATCTGACCTATGATTGGAAGACCTGCTGTCGACATTCTTGGATAATGTGCAGCATAGCAGCCATACCGAACGTAGGAAGATCAAATGTTACCTAAAGAGAATGAAAAAGAAGAAATTCAGACAAAACAAGAGCAACTTAATGGCTTTTTTTACTATATGTTATATGAAAACTGCACATACAAGAATAACTGACAAATTCCGAAAACACTATATTAGAATAAGAAGGTAGGAAATGCATAATATGCTTACATGCCATAGTTTTTCCTTCTTTCTTTACTTCAGGCTCAAGCCAACAATCAATTTTAACTAAATAGAATGTATATACACACTGACCAAGGAGGTTTATAACCTTCTATCGTTTCTGTAAACGTCCAGATTCATACAGACAACATAACCATTTAACAAAGAACTTTCCTACATAATCGAAGTTAAAAAATGACCTTTAACAATCCAATTTATCTACCAGATATCTACGAGATATCTAACATGTTCTAGCCACTCATGTATCAGCCATGAACCCTATCTCTTGCTCTTTTACTCTGACAGGTATATATCAAGATCTAACTAGCTCTGGGAGAGCTGGGCTGATCACCAAATTTTTTGTTGGATTCCATCTATTGCTCTCAAACCAACAGTGGCCAGGTCTGACTTGAGCTTCATTAGTTTCTACAACTGTAGTGACAGTGTTAAATACATTTTATTGGCTCTTCTGCATCTGTTGAGCTATTATTCAAAATCAATAAACTTGCTCTGGAGCAAGGTATGAAGTAATGATTCTTAAGCAAAAAAATACTTTGCTTCTCTCTTATATAATGACATTTGTCCAGAGGCAATATCATCATAGGATGTGGTATACAAATAGGGAAGGGTCGAAAAAGCCTTGTCAATTCACTGGGTACCAGTGTGGTAGCATCATCAGAATGTGTGGGTGATTGCTTAACCCTTAGCTGGGGTGGTCTGTTCAAGATGTGGCTAATGCAGGCTTCTCCTCTCTTTCAACTAATTTGAAACTATCAATCTATATTGCATCTTTAAAGAAAC